TTTTATTTCTCGCGCAGTGCAGCGCGTGACGAATATTAAAAGAAAGCTAAGCCGGAAAATTGAAAATACAAGAGCGTGCATTAAATAAATAAATATCTCTTTTTGATTTCGAGAAAGTACTGGAAAATTCTAGCGCGTGATTTTAAAATCTTATAAAAGGAGGAAAACATCTCAGTTTGTAGGAGTTGCTTAGTTTGTTGTTTAGAAAACTACTGTTGTTGATTGTAGCGAATTCGCGGATTAGCGTTCTTTAGCTGTTTTGAATTACGTTCTATTGACATTTGAGTAGTTAAAAGAAAACTACTGTGAGATATTGTAATACTGCATGATAATTTGAGAAAATTTAAGCATTTTTGTTGTGATAATAATAAATTTTTGTTCATTTTTCATCGGACTTGTGCATTCATTTCATAACGAACCCGTACGCACGCAACAATTTTTGGTGTCAGAAGTGGAATTTGAATGCCAATAACAAGAGCGATGGAAGAACAATTGAGACAGCTCATTAGTGCTTTTGCTGCATTCCAAGAAAAGATGGAAGCTGGCCAAGCATCATTTAAGGAAGAAATGAAATTGGGCCAGGAATCCGTTAAGGAAGAAATAAATGAAATTGGGCCAGGAATCCGTTAAGGACGAAATGAAAGCCGTTCAAGCTGGTCAAGAAGAAATGAAAAGAGAAATTACTTGCATAATAGAAAATAAATTTGAAGCTATGGAAGGCAGAATTGACGCAGTTGAAAATAAAGTTGGACATATTGAAGAAAGAGTTTCTTCGGTGAAAGAAGAAATAGAAGAATGAGTTTCTTCTGTAAAAGAACAAATTGATGAGAGAGTTTCTGCAGTTGCCAAAGAAATGGATACTTTAAAGAAATTCGTAGCGTCGGCAGGGAGCAGGAGTGATGATTTTAAATTCTTACCAATGCCTGCTCGTCCACCTCTGAAGCTATCCACATATGATGGGAAGACCTCCTGGCAGGTGTATAAGACACAATTTTCTATCGTGGCGGATGCGAATGGGTGGGATTCCCAAGCTAAGGCCTGTCATCTCGCCGCTTCTCTAAGAGCCGACGCAGCGGATATCCTTCAGACTCTTCCCGAAAACAAAAGGTTAGATTTCGAAGCTCTGTCCGGCGCCTTGGAGTTGCGCTTTGGGGAGAAGTGTTTTAAAAGACTACAGCAGGCTCCAATTAAAATCTCGTCAACAGAAGCCTACCGAAACACTTCAGGAGCTCGCCGCGGATGTTGAAAGGCTGTCCCATCTCGCCTTTTCGGAATGCCCGACAGAAAACAAGGGAAATCCTGTCCTTACAATACTTTATCGACGGCATCCGAGATACTGAAATACAGAAAGCTCTACGAATGGCGGATGTAAAAGATTTAAAAAGTGCTCTAGTTGTACGCCATGAAATTCGAGGCAGCCCAGCAAGCCACTCGTCGAGACCGCTACCCAGTTAGAGCTGTGCGAGTCCATGAGCCAGTGGATCAACTGATGGCTCGTTTAGATGATTTAGCCAGACAAGTCGAAGATTTGATACGGAGTAGGAGCGAGAAGAAAGTGGCTCTAAGGTGTTGGAGATGTGGTAGTGAAGGTCACCTAAGACGGAATTGCAGAACACCCCAGGGTACGGAATATAAAGCAGATGATTTTACCAGACAAGTCAGTGGCTTGAGACGGAACAGAAGTGAAAAGAAACTAATTCTAAAGTGCTGGAACTGCGGAGTTGAAGGCCACATACGAAGAAAGTGCAGACCCCGAGGTACGGAAAATAAGACCATTTCCCAGCAACAACGCACGCAGTAAACAAATTAGTGACCATATCGAGGAACGGAGGTTGCCAGATAGTGAAAACCTTGTTTTAAAGCTCTTAAAATTTATACAGTGAGTGGCAACAATAACGGACTGTCCATCAATGGGAATATCGATGGAGTTCCTTGCAGTATGATCATTGACACAGGAGCTAATGTTACCATCATTAGGAAAGATTTAGCTGAACAGTTTAAAGATAAACTTATTTGGACGCCATCCTGTGTTAGCCTTCAGACTGCGTCTGGTGACAAGATCGACATAACTGGGAAGTTAAACGTAAACATCACGTTTGGAAGTGCCGCCTACCATCACACGGCATATGTGGCGGATATTACAGATCCATGCATACTCGGATTGGACTTTTTAAGGAAATACAATTTTTCCTTAGACTTGAAAAACAACAAACTGCTTTCAGGATCTGAAGACATGACTATCCATCCTAAGAAGGGATCCTCACCTGGAAATGCCGACGCTTTGTCCGAAAGAACCAGCTCGAGAAACAGTCCAAATCATGCTAGGGTCGAAAAGAAACACCAGACTACCAGCTATTCTCCATCTCAGATGCTCTTCGGTCGAGACCTTCGTCTGCCTTGTGACCGCCTGTTTCATCGCCGTACGGATGCGCCTTCATCGCCTGAGGAACACATCCAAGATGTCAAGGCCCGTTTTGAAGTGATGCACCGTTCCGCACGAAAGCGAGTGAACTTGGCGACGGAGAAGGTGAAGACCAGATACAACACGAGAGCTGCTGGACATAGATCCAACGAAGGAGACAAGGTGTGGTTGTGGAACCCGATTCGACGAAAAGGAGTCAGGCCTGATTTACAGTCACCTTGGGATGGTTCGCACACAATCCTAAACAGGCTAAATGACGTCATGGTTCGGATCCGTGAGTCTTCGAACTCTTACGACAGGTTAGCTCATTACTATGGCCATAGTACGTAATGTAAATAATTGTAAATAGTATAAGACCATGGTCCATTTTTGTTTTTAAATGTGTATTTGATTTGTATTTGATAGCATTTGATTTGTTTTATGTATTGCATTTATTGTTCATGTTGTTTATTATTGTAATGTAATGCTTATTAATGCATTTATGCCACAGTTGTAAGTTTTGCTTCCTGTCCAGGGATTGTACTGCCCGGGACGTGCAGTCCTTGGGAAGGGGGCAGTGTTACGAATTTGGTATTTAAAAAGCTAATGTTAGTTCAATTAGAAATTAAATGGTTTTATTTCTCGCGCAGTGCAGCGCGTGACGAATATTAAAAGAAAGCTAAGCCGGAAAATTGAAAATACAAGAGCGCGTGCATTAAATAAATAAATATCTCTTTTTGATTTCGAGAAAGTACTGGAAAATTCTAGCGCGTGATTTTAAAATCTTATAAAAGGAGGAAAAAACATCTCAGTTTGTAGGAGTTGCTTAGTTTGTTGTTGTTTAGAAAACTACTGTTGTTGATTGTAGCGAATTCGCGGATTAGCGTTCTTTAGCTGTTTTGAATTACGTTCTATTGACATTTGAGTAGTTAAAAGAAAACTACTGTGAGATATTGTAATACTGCATGATAATTTGAGAAAATTTAAGCATTTTTGTTGTGATAATAATAAATTTTTGTTCATTTTTCATCGGACTTGTGCATTCATTTCATAACGAACCCGTACGCACGCAACATCATGATAAATCAGTGTGGTGTGACTCCTACGACAACTAGTCACAGACATCAATGCAAAAGAAATTAAACAGATTTGCACGCTTCCTCTGGCCGAGCGCCCAGCGTTCCCATGTGTTAGGACGGCCCTGCGGACTATGGTATGTGCTGGTTCTCCTAGAACTGAGTGGTACACCTGCCTTGCTGAGTCTTTGTTTAGAACATAAAAAGATAGGTGCAGAGATCAAAAGAACTGTAATGGGAAAGGGTTATTTGCTTTTCTAACATGAATGAGATCTTAATATCCTAAATAACTAAACATGGATGATTTTAACTGGTAGTAATTTTTTAGTTAAAATGCGCCGAAATTTTGGATAAAATTATGAATTTACAAAAGTCGTTTCAATCAAAAATATCCTTAAGTTCACTATATGCGATTTCACACATTTGGGAGTTGGCTATAACCGTATAAAATAACATCAAGTGTAAAAGACGGACCAAAATATTCGTTTGTTATATCCGGGAGTTCTCTATGAACCGGGTTCGCTGCAACCAAATTTAACTGTTAATTTTTTTAGGGGGGGGGAATACGTCAAAGAAAGGTGTTATTGTTTTCGCTTCCGGAATTTCAAGCTCTCAAAACTGTCAGTATTTGTGTCAAATACTTATTGTTAGTTTCGTTTTCAAGTGACTCAGTGAAAAAAATTGCAGTTATATATTGAAATTCCTTTACTAAATAAGCGCAAAAATGGTGGTTTAATTTGCATCGTGATTTAATTAACCGTGTTTCAACCATCGTGGTTTAATTTACATTGGAACAATATTACTGAAATAATTTCTATGCCGTTGCCATTGTAAATAACTCGTTTTGAATATATGATTTTATATTCGGCATTTTGAATTAATTATTAAATAAATAGTACTGTTATCTTAAAACTGTTTCGGGAGTTAAGCTGAAATCATTTAATTAATATGTATAAGATCAATTTTTTTAAAAAACTTTTATTATTTATTCATATTTTCCTGAAATTTTTATAAGATAATCAGTAAATTCATTTAAAGATTTGCGAAACTGGCATCCATTCGTATTTTTCAGTCGCTGTCTTTTCTTTGCCATTTCCAGGCAGAAAATATAACTGAAAAATAATTGTTTTTCTTCGCCATTTTTTAAAATTTTATTATCTCCCCCGCCTTTATTTTTTTAGCTGCGAGTCAGGAGAGTAATTAATTTCTTTTATTTTCATAAATAGTATTTTCAATGTGTATTGTTAAGCTGCAGTTTTTCGCAAATAAAATAGAACTCGCAATATTTTCGTAGCCAAAAAAAACCGGATTTTCTCGAAAGAAATGCTTCCCCGCTATTTACTCCAGTTGTCCCGCTGCGCAAACTTGAAGCTCATACTGTAACGATGTTGCCTGTAATAAAGCGCCCTCTAGCGAAATGCGTGAGAATCTGCTCCAATACTTCGGCCAAGTTAACTGCTAAATGCTTTTTATGTTGTGTGTGTGTACATTAGTCTTCGACTTCCAGCCGTAAAGAGGATTGAGGGAAGAAAGTTGTTCCTGTGCAGAGGAGATTGTGTCTAGGTTATATATAGAAGTTCGCGGTATCGTAGTCTTTTTTTTTTTTAAGAAAATATTTTATTCTTGACGATACTAGCGCGGCCATGTTGTTCAAAACGGTAATGAGATGTTTACCTTTTGTGAAAAATACGAGAATTATTGTAGCTCGTACAAGCGTAACTGCTACAAGTCCTGAACATGCTGCCATCGAGTATCATCACAACTTCCGGGTAACTATTGCATTATTTTACATGCATGAAAAAAGATTAAATTTTTAAAACAGTAATTTTGAGACATTTTTTAAAACGTTATTTTGTACATAAAATCAGAAATGTTTTTAGATTAGATTGAAAATTGTAATTTGCGCTGAGCAGAAATTTTAATGGGGGCGTGAAGTATTTCATTTAATAATGAAATTGATTTGTTATCGTGAATTTGAGAGGGAGGTTATTTTAAGTTTAAAAGAGCGAATTTAAGAGTAGTTTTGTATTCTAATTGTATTAAAGTTTTAGTGATAATTAAAAATTGTGAATCAATGCAATGAGCGACTATGATAAGTGCAGTTCCTGAAAACTGTAACACTGAATGGATATGAATTCATTGCTATAATGTATGTTCTTACTATAACGTAGTCAAGAAATTCTACATCGTAAAATATAGTTTTAATGCTGTGTGTAAAAATTAAGAAGCATAATATATTAAATATTTTATGGTGTAGTTCGATTAAACAACCAGTTAATTACCTGTCATTAATAACCAAAAATATTAGGTACGATAACATGACGGAAGTAAAGGTAATTAAAAAATATATTAATATGTAACAATAAAGTGTTTTAATGTGAAAATTTTAGAAAGTAATTTTGGATTTCCTCCGTCACCCTTTTTTTCAAGCGCATAACTAGCATTCGTACTTTTAATTTTCTGTTTTTAATACGTGAATTTGTTTTCACTGAAATAGCTGGTGATTTTTGAAATAATTATTAAGTCTGAACTGGAGTGTAAAATTGAAATTTTAATGTTGCTAATTTGTTGTGAATTATTTTGCTTTATTAAAAAGTACAGCATTTTATAAACTAGTACGCACAGAAAGGGTTTATATAAATTTACTTTCTGCGGTCCATGTATTAAATATTGTGCCTTTAATGAGGTATTTTCTGTAAAAAATTCTTCAGAATCATAACGATGTACACTCGATCATTTGGTTTATCACGATATAGCAAAACAAGCAGCTCAAAATCGTGCCAAATTGCGCAGCAAAACCTGTTGAACAGCTGCAACCACCGCTACCGTCAATAATCCAACTCCACCTCTGCAAATAACTGTAGGTATTAAGTCACGAGTTAATTGCAGAGCGGTGTTTGCCAGCTGCAAATGGGTTGAAATTAAGTAACCGAGCGAAATACGAATTAATGAATTAATGTTATGTCTAAATAATTACAGACTGTGGTGGAAAATTAAGTTGTTATATGCACACCCTCAGAAATTTTCTTTACAACCCACAGTACTTACTGTGTATGCACTTTTAATTGCGGCATATAAGTATCTGTAACAAGTAGAGTCGAATGTTTTCCGGAAATGAGAATCCAATCTTTATCAGTACTAGAAATCTGAAGTAATATTCGAGTGTAAATTTTGTATTTAATATTTATTGCGTAACAGATTTTACTTTAATTTATATAATAAAAGTCTTAATCCACTTTTTTTTTAATTCATCAGAAATGTAACTTCTAAATCAAAGTTTAACATTCTCCGAACAATATCCTATAATTCTTCCGCCCTTTTTAAATGCTTTATTCTGCCCTTTGATTTTAAAAGCAGTAAATTCTTTATTCGTCAGTATGTTAATTTTTTAAATAAATGTGCAAATCGATGTATTTAAACTGTGATCGGAAATCGCGATGCAATCAATTTAAATAAACGGCATTTTTTAAAAAATTTTTTATGGAAGTATCTAGTTCTCTTCCTGAAGCTCGTTAGCACAGAATTTAAAATTTAACTGAAACAAATCTCAGATGTTGAGTGATTCTAAACACAAAAGTTGAAGTGGAAAGATTTGAGTATTTTTGGAATTCTACGTAACGCATTATCGTAGCTTAGAAAACGTTAGGGGTGATCTTAAATGTGTTGGAAGAGTGGTATAGAAATGAAATTTAGCTACTTCTAGCACTGTATACGCCTTTAATCACAATTTCTTGTTAAGAAGGAAGTATATTTTGAACTATTTCAAAATGAAAATTACTGAATGTGTTTAAAAAATAAACTAAGCTACGAAATATGCTCAAATTTATAATAAACAGAAGGAATAAATCTGATTTTTGTAATATTGTTTTCATATTAAAATTATTGCATTAGTTGAGTTTTTCGTCATTTTTTAAGATAAAAAACCAAGAAAGGAATTACAAATGTAAACAAGTTGGAAAACATGGTACCTTTCGTCGCTTCTGGCGCATCTGACAGCTATTCTGTTTACGTTTATTTAAAGCGCAAAAACTGGGTAAGGAGGGGGAAGGTGAGAGATGGGAATGCCCCTAGCTGCAATTTTGCATTCCTGCCGAAAAGAATATTTCTTTATGTAATAGCATCTGTGGAGAAATCAGGATTGCGAACTGTGACATTCCCTTTTTTGCTTATATTTTCGCATTTTGGGCTGTTATAATTAAAAGGTAGCCCCCCTTTTTTTTTCTTTGAAGTGAAGTGGCTTGCAATTAGCATATGGGTTCAGTTGGGCTAGTAACAATATAACTATTACTGGTAATGGATTTCTTAATTTGTATATATTTTCATGCTTTTAACCACATTAAAAATTTATGCCAACCACGGCTGAGCGTTAAAACTGCTGGAATGTTTTAGTTCGACCCGGGTTCAAATCAATGCAATACTGTTTTTTTTTTTTTTTTTTTTTTTTTTAAATAATAACTTTAAAGAGAAAAGATTGAAGTAAATGTGTTAAAAATATTATCGATAATGCTGTAATAAAAAGTGAACCATTTCCTTTTTTTTAAATGAAAAACAAGGCTAGTCGTGAGTTATCTAATATAAATAATATTCAAACTGTCCCCTCCCCCCCACTTAGTTTGATGTATGTCAGCGGCAGTGGCCTTTACCTGCTCTGCCATACTCAAATCCTTTGCAATAAAACCTGCTTTTAAAAGGTCACATCATACATGGAATGATTCGGAACATTTCCCCCAGCATTTTTTTTTCATTTAATGAAGTGTAACTTAAGATAATCCATGACTTGAGTTTAAATTTTAATCTGTTGTTAAGTGATAGATGCGTAGTATTTCTGGAATGGGATTTTATAGGATTCATGTTTTGTTCTTTGTTCATAGAACGTTTTGGAAGTGTGTAAAATTTTAATGATGGAACTCTGAAAAATGTGCTTATTATGTTACTTAGACCGATTTGGTCATTTTGAAAAACGTTTAAGTAAGTTGAATGGAATGCTTAGGGGAAAACTGTCTATTTTGTCCCCCCCCAAAAAAATTGACAGCTTATAGACACAACTACAAACTTTCTGAAAGACCTAGTGACAATGAAGTAGAAAGACTTCCTTCACTTTTTAGAGTGAGAAGCTTTTGCAGTGGAGTTTAAAAAAAGAATTAGTGCTGATGCAATGCGTTCTTGGATTTAGTCGTTTGGAAGTCGGTAGGAATCATATTTTCGGAAATAAGGTTCGATGTGCAAAATTGTTATGTTTATATTAATGCATTTATCGTTTGTACGAGTTTATCTCCAGAAGGTCTAGTTTCCTGTTTCTAGTGTGCCTTGTAGATTTTCGTTTTAGATAATATTCCGTGTTTAACCCTTTCATTGCAAGACATTGATGTCTGTTACAGAATCTTATATGCGAAAGAAAATCAAATACGATTTTCGAAGAAGTGCTGAAAATGAATTGGCGATTTATTATCAATATGTGCTCCAAATCTGGACCTCTTAACATCAGTCATAAATTATGGAATTCAGATTTACTCGAATTGTTATCGGCTAGCTATCGGTTATCGGTCCTTTTATTGCTTCTGATTCCAATGTATGTAATAACTCCGATTGTTTAATACATCAGGCATAACACCCAAGGAATAATTTTTTGACAGTCTTTCTGAAGCAGACATTTGAACACTGGTAGTTCGAATTGGCTTAATTCCAACTGTCGAGCTGGCTATATAAAAGTTTACGCGTTTTCCCCATCTATAATACGAGTAAGAGCTAGTTTCTGTTATTCTTCCACAGAACATCACAGACGAATTCCTGCCTGGGTTATACCTTTCGGGAATAAACGTCTAGACTCTGGAGCCCATCCGAGCGATAACAGCCATGGATTAGTCTTCTACAAGTGCCTAGCTGGGGAGGGGGGTGCAAGGAGGATATCTGTCCGCGGGCCAGCATCCAGAGAGCGCCATATTGATGTTATGAAACTTTAGAATTAAATGTTTTCCATTATTGTGGAAACAGGAAAGAACGCGATCTTCAGATGGTCCCGGAAAAACGTTGAAAAACCGTAGACTATGCGTGCTTTGTTGTAATTTTTAAAATCGACTAATTTAAATATTTATTTCGCACAGACAGTTAAACTCTCATTTGTTTGTCTTGCGCGAGATCAAAGTGTGGAATTACTCACAGGTATGTTTAACTTAGAATAAAACATACCACATTATCCATAATAGAAGGTCTAAGCATGAAATTAAGGTGGGGAAATTCTTCAATCTTACAAGTATGTTTACCCTAGAACAAAACATATCACATTTATTCATAGAAGTTTTAAATAGAGGGGAGCAAGGAAATGAAGAGAACGTGCTTTCCATGCAGAACTCACGCAGTTACATAAATTGTCATCTGGATTTGATAGATTATAAATTTAGAACACAGAAATTGGGGGCATAAATTTTCTTTGTCAAGGAAATTATGCTTCAGTGAACTTCAGTCGACTCTCTTCAGTGTAAATGCATGCATTTTGAAGTTTGGGAGATTGCGACTCGTAATGTTAAACTTCCAAATCTTCAGCTGTGGCAAGAACTTCCAGGGAGGGAGGGGAAAGATTTATTTATTTTTAAATATATTCATCTGTTAGTAATTTCTGTGCTCATGCGTTACGGATTAATGCTTTTAAGGTGAATCTTTTACGCTTTCTTTTCGTATACCAGTTCGTTTCATCCCATTTTTGAATAGTACATTTTCTTTTCAAGCAGAACGCACGAAACTAAAAAAATAATAATAATAACAATAATAGGGG